GGGCGGCACAGCGTTCCGCTGTGATGGTGCCCTTGACGGGGACGACCACAAGATGTTTCGACCCTCGGTCGATGCACACCCAAATGCCCGTGTTCCCTCGCTGTTCGCGAGGAAGGCCAAAGATAAAGCCCATGCTCACGGACTCCCAGAGTTCATGAGGGACTTCCAGACTTTGAAGAGGCGCTCGCGTCGATGCGGAGGCCTTGACGGTCTGGCAGATGTCGCATGACGCGACACAGCGAGCCACTTGCTTGTACAAACGCGGCCACCAAAAGTGGCGAGCAATCGACGTAAACGTCCGTTCACGGCCAAAATTACCGGCGCTGGGCGCGTCGTGGAACTCGTGCAGGATTGCCTGCCGGAGCAAAGGGTCGCAGGGACTGCGTCGCGCTTGTTGACAGCCATGTTCGTGGCGTAAAGCAACAGTCCTTCGTGGATGGAGTAACGCTCGCGCTGTGGAACGCGCGAGGCCAACGGGGTACCGTCTCAGAGATGTTCGATGATGGGGCGCAACGTCACGTCAGCCGCGTAGGCGGCTCGAATGCGCGACAAGAGGTCTGACGAGACCGACGAGATGGAGGACAACTGCACGTCCTCAGCCGACGGTAGTCGGGACAATGCATCCGCGACGACAGTGTCGCCGCCCGGCTTGTTCTCTCAACCTTGAGGTTGAACTCCGAGAAGTACGAGAGCCAGCGCGACATGCGCGGCGACAAGTGAGCCAGCGCGACATGCGCGGCGACAAGTGCGGCGAGTTGATCGCCGTGCGGAGCGATGCGTGGTCGGTGTAGACCTCGAACTCGGACGAGCCCAAGAGGTAAATGCGGAACTTCTTTAGGGCGTAGTACATCGCCAATATCTCCAAGTCGTGAACTGGATAGTTTTTCTCAGACTTGTGAAGTTGGCGGGGTTGGAACGATACCGGGCGCTCCCTGCCCAATGCATTGCGCTGCATCAAGCAGCAGCCGATGGCTCGAACCGACGCGTCGCAGACCACGAAGAACGGTCTGGAATAGTCTGGCAAAGCCAGAATCGGAGCCGATGTGAGGCTCGACTTGATCGACTCGAGAGTCTTGACATTCTTGTGTCCACTCCCATGGGACGATGACGAAAATTTTGACGACAATCGTGACGACATGGTATCCTTGCCGAGCAAGCGAGTCATGGGGCAAGCCACGTCGGCGAAATTCGCCGAGAACTTGGGCAAGTAGGTCGCGAGGCCCATCCAACTGCGCAGTTCTAGCACAGAACTTGGCGTCGGCCAAGACTTGATGACGTCCACCTTGGACGGATCGGCGCGACATCCTTTGACGCGACGTAGTCGCCGAGCACCAGGATCTCGGGGACCCCGAAGAGACACTTCGACAGGTTGGCAAAGAGACAAGGGTCTCGAAGTGCCTGGAACTCCTGTCGAAGGTGTGACCGGTGAGCCTCCACATCCGAGGAAGTCGCGGTCGCGCGACAGTGTATGTACACGTCCTCGAGATACGACGGAGCAAACTCGCGGAGCGGTCGGAGTTTCTCAGTGACGACGCGATTGAAGGTGGCAGGGACGTTCTTCAGCCCCTGGGGTATCACCAACTACTACCAGAGCATGCCGCTGGGGTGGAGACGGCCGTCTTCTCAATATCTAGGACGTTCATCAGGATCTGATAGAACCCGTCCCGAAGGTCGATGGCGCTGAAAATGATCGACTGCCCCATGGAGTCAAGGATGACGTCCTTGCGTGGGATCGGCGTTTGCGCCGGAATGTGGCCGCGTTCAGCTTGTTGTAAGCATGAACGATGCGCCACTTCCCTTCTTCACACAGAAGGTGGGATTCGAGTGTGGGGACTTGCTTTCCCGCACGTGTCCGGTCTTCTTGCGGGCGGCGAAGAATTCGTCGATGAACGAGACTTGGTCGCGGGGCAGCGGCCACTGCCGCGTGATACATCACTTGGTGCCAGGCACCAGATCGATATCGTGCCGGACGCTCTTGTCCTTGGGGGACACCCCGGGACAACTGTCCGGAAAGACATCTTGGAACTCGCGAACCAAGTCGAAGTACGGGTTCGTTTCCAATTCCTTCCATACCGATGAGGAAGGGCGAAAGGCACTCTCTTCAACGGGGTCGTCGGTCGTCGACGAAACCATGAGGTGCAACTCATGGGCGTTCCTGATGAGTGCAATGCTGACGTTGACAGCTCCGCGCAACGCGCGGACAAAGCTGATGTAGCTCATTTCCGGGAGCGTCACGATCTCAGCGGCTGTTCGTGGCAATTCGGTCAAGTCGCAGACCGAAAGAACAAATGCGTTGGTGTCACGCCGATGGGCAGTGGTTCGTCTCACATCATCGCCAGTCTTGGCGGCATCGCCGATCGCGGCGGATTCCGTGGCAAGCCTCGTGCTCGAAGGGGCAGGTCGCGTGACAAACTGCGTCGCTGGCCCATGCAAGAGCGTGAGCTCATTACTCATCACTCCCAGGTCGGACGGAGGGTTGGCCAGAGCGGCCTTGTGCATCGTCTTGGATCTCCAGCCGATCCATGGTTGGTGTGCCTCCAACCTCTGCGTGCCAAGGACGAGATCCCATCGGTCATCCAGGTCGATGACATAGAAGGACTCAGTTGAGGCAAAACCCTCCACGACAGTGGCGAGAGTCACCACGACCTTGGACGAGGTGACAACTTGGCCGTCGCCATCTTGACGCGCACAACGGAGTACGTGGGAGCACGCTGGACTGCACCATCGTAAATCGAGCGATTCTCTCGAATCGAAGCGCGTCGGGCATAGTTCTCCGACGCCCCGCAATCCACCAGGACGCGGAACAGGCGGTCGTATCCAGGGATACGGCTGCTGAAAGACAGCATGCTTCCGATTTGACACAGTATCAATGTGCCTGAGACAGGATTTGCCGACCGTGCTATGCCGCCTCGCGCCTACCGAGGACTTCCATTTCCCTGTCCACGAGGATGCTCGCTGCTCGTGCGCGCGTCAGAGTGGGCGGTAATGCGCGAAGAGCCAGCGGCAGGGAAGACGGCGCCGCGCGCCGAAGGTCGAGGGAGTCGCCGCGGTTGGCGACAGTCACGGGAGAAGTGGCCCGGCCGGTTGCAGTTATAGCAACGACGGTCGCTGCCAGTCGGCAGGATGGCAGACACTTCCATGTCGGAAGAGTCGCGGACCTTCACCCCGCGTGCCTGGGTAACCGAGAAGTCTTCGGCGAGGTCGATGCTTACAGCGTCTTCGAACGTCGAAGGACGCGTCCGGAACAGCTACGTCCGCGCAGCGGAGTCGTTCAGACCATTCATGAAAATGGCCACCTTGGTGTCTTCCGATAGTGACGACTCCTTCGTCACGCAGGAGGCAAGGAAGCGGAGGTCGTGGACATACTTGCGAATCGAACGCTTTGCCTTGTTTCGCGGAGAAGTACTCCGCACGGAAGCGAAAGTAGCTATTGGCGGGTACGAAAGCCGCCTTGAGGTGGTCGACGAAATCGTCGAAGGGTTCGAAGGAGAAGTCCTCCTCACACGTAAGGTCTTAGGCCCAGTCTTCAGCGCGTCCTGTCAGCTGGGATATGGCGAAGGGCACGCAGACACCATCGTCGCCGATGTTCAAGGCATCCGCGGCCTTGGTCACTTGCTGAACCCAACGCAATGGTTGCTGGGAGGGAAGACCTCCGTACTTGGGGACATCAAGCTTGATCGCTTGGCGCTTGGTTGCCGAGGCAGGTTGCGCAGATTTGCGCAAGGAGGTGGGCCGTCGTATGACGGAGGGTTTCCTCCAAGGCTTCCTCCAAGGCACGGTCTTGACCCTTGAGCTCAGCGATTTCTTGATGCACGGCATCACGTTCAGCAGTCGCGGACTGCATGTGAGCGGCAATGTCTTGCCGAGCATTCTCACCATAACGAGCGAAGCTCTCCACCAAGTGGAATTGCGCTGGCGGCGCCAACGTGTTGATAAGGCTCCATGCGTCTTGTTCGCCGAGGGCGGAGCACATGTGACCGATCGTCGCAAGATGGGCTTCAGAGAACTGGGCAGAGGACATTGCGTGTAGGTCGGTGGACGAGCGAGAGTGCTACCAGGTGTAACGGGGCACAGCAGAGAAACGTTGTGTTGAACAGAGCAAAATGTTACCTGAATAGATAGCTGCGTCTAAACTAGTCTCCATGGTGCGGTGCCTACGCACCAGTCATGTAATACGAGTGTTGTGCTGCGAGGGGCTCGCAGTACCAGCGAATCAGAACCAGCAGCCGGCCGCTGGCTTGATGGGCGAGGTCTGGCACCAAGTGCCATGTGGCCTTTTAAAATCCGGATAAATATCCCGATATCCCGTAACAGCCGTACCACAAAGCAATCTTCAAGTAAATCCTTGTTGTCAAATTCCTGCCGTCCGTGCATTACAGTGAACCGGGAAAAAACTCGTAAGTGTTGTAGTACCATCATTAGCTTGGCAGTGGGATGAGTGGATATCAGAAGCAAAACTGCGTCTTAGTCTATGATTGGCTACATATGCTCATCGTCTTTCGTGATCTCTGATTGGTTCAGACGCAATGTCAGTCCATGATTGGACAAATACAAAATACGAAATAGGAGGTCTCTGATTGGTTGACTTGAGACACTGTCCATTACAAACAGGCAAATTCACGCGCCGTTACACTGGAACAAGACATGTACACCCTCGTCAAAGTCGCGCCTTGCTGGTGGGACGGTAGAGATGTACCCGATGAATCCATCTATTGTACTCAATTTTCTCCCGTGGCGGTGGAAGGTCACACAGCCTGGCGCAGTCGCGCCACGCTGGTAAGCGCGCCGGCAGCACCCAGCGAGATAGGTGGGTGGGGGTATTCATGATTCGCATACCCCTCCGCGTGCCAACCCCACAGCGGGTCAGTTCATTTTCAATTCTTGTGCCATGGCCAAGTTCCTCGCCCTCGTTGCCCTCACCGCCGCATCCGCCGTCGCCCAATTCGAAATCGTCAACGGTACGGAAGCCCCCGTCGGCAAATACACGTACGTGACGGGCATCCGCGAGACCGAGACCGGTCGGACCATCTGCGGCGCGTCCTTGATTGCCCCCAAGGTGCTCCTCACC